AAATAAAGGTGATAGATATCTTTACCTCATAACATTAAATGAGTTACTACATATTAAATATATTGAATATGCTCCATAAGATTAGTTTCTGTTTTCATTATTTTTAAGTGATTCTGTATTTATGGGTATAGTCATTGTGAGCCATGAGTAGCTTCTCACAAATTAACTCCTTGTTGCTAAAATTGGAAGATAAAACATCAGTGGCACTTACATTTTTAAATAAATAAGAAATGTTCTGTTTGGGGTTTTCTTTTTTGTAGTTACAGGGTTTTGTTTTTCTTTAATTTAAAAAAAATTCTCCTGCAGGGGAGAAGTGCATTTGATTAAGATGGTATTATTTCCTGGCTGAATGACCTGTGCACAACACTATGCTCTGGCCCCGAGGCCAGAGTCCGGAGTTTTAACCCTAGGTCCCCTCTTAACAAGCTGTGTGGTGGGCAGACCCATGCCTTAGTTTCCCCAGATCTCAAATCAGCGGCAGTCATTAGATGCCCCCAAGATTCTGTCCATTATAAATGCTACACTTCCAACTACTAGTAGTCAAAGCATTTTTCTCTGGAACTGAAATGACTTTTTATGCGTTTATGACACTTGGTTTGCCCTTTTCTACCCACTTATCTAGCCCATCAGAAAGGGTTGTATGGGGGGCTGCCCCCCCCCCGATACTCTGTAGTGTGCTGAGCACCATGTGTACAGCAAGGTGCTGAAGAGCTTGGGCTTTGGGTTTGGGCCTAGTTCTGCCATTTGTGAATCTTGTTATTTATAATCTCTCCAGTCTCATTTACCTGTAATTTGGGCATGAAGACTATCTACCTCATGCAAGTAACACGAGGACTGACTATGTTAACACTGTTAAAGTGCTTAGTTCGATACCTGAAGCATAGTGTATGATTGCCTATTACTAAAATGCCTGGTTGTGCCAGGCACCCCGAAAGCTCCCAGAGGCTCCTGGAAGGCACCCAGAAGGCACCCAGGAACCAGTGCCCCCCTCCATCAGTTCTGGAGAATATTCTTGCCCTGTGCTTGATAACTGACTTGTTAACTTTACCTCTCATTTATCTTCTTTAAAATGGGTTAGGAAATAGTCTTCCCATTAAAAAACTTGTGTTTTTTAAATGGGAGACTAGATAGATTAAGGGAAGATTTAGCTGTTTATTTGTTAATTTTCAGGCAAATAAGGACTATAATGAGAGTGGCCCTCAGAAGTGGTTGGTTTCACTCTCAGGGTGTCAGAGGGAAAGCGAACAGGACATGGCTACGAGGCTCAGAAAGGCTTCTCTGAGGTAGCACAGCTACGAAGAGACGAAATATGGTTTTGAGTCCGGATTTGGCCTGGCACCCCTGTGCAAGTCGCATCATTTCT